CCGCCACAAGCCCTCTTACCCTGGTCTTTTTTTTTTTTTTGGCCACGTCCCATGCTTTGTGGGATATTAGTTCCCCAACCAGGGATTGAACCTGGGCCCATGGCAGTGAAAGTGCTGAGTCCTAACCAGTGGACCGCCAGGGAATTCCCACGTATGATCTTTGAAAATAAGCTGTTGCTTCTCATCTTCCCTCCTAAAATCTAAGCTCTACCAGGACAAATATCTTTGTCTGTTTCATTCAGAGCCTGACACTAGTAGGCATTCAACAAATATTGGTTGAAGAAATGAAAAAAACATAAAGAAGCGAGTTCAAACTTGGGTGTACAGTCACCTCAGAAGCTTTGGAAAAGGCAAAGCCCCTTGCCTGCATCAGAAGCTCTACCTGTGGGCCAAGAGAATCTGCATTTTTACAAGTTTCTGCTGAGAGGATGCAGGGGCAGCCGATCCCTAGTCTAACGTTTGGAAACCATTGCTCTAACAGCTGCCACTTCTCCGTTTCCCTGAGAAACATAAGTCAGGCAAGGCCGCCTCCCTTTTCTGCCCTCCTCCCCAGCAACTCGAGCCAGGATGGAGAGAAGACAGCACAGCTGCCTGGGAAAGTCGAGGCCTCCCACGGTGCCGAGTAGAAAAATACGAGACACACGGGGCTAGGTCTTGCACCATCCCCCTTGCCACCCAGGCCTCCACAGCTGGGCTTGGAAGGGGACGTGGGCTTGGAGAGCCCGATGGACTGGGTCACCGAAGACTCCAGGAACCAGAGTTTCCGCTATGGGGGTTAGGGTGGTGCTGGGAAAGTAGGGGGAGGGGAAAAAGCACTTGTTTATTTGTTTATTTGTTATTAACTTATTTGTCCATTCATACTGAGCCCACTTTGTGTTGGATACTCCGCTGGGTGCCGGGGACACAGCAGTGAACAAGACAGCCCACAGCCCTTCATCCATGTGTTAAAATCGCTAACAAGAGTAGAGTCAGGCACTTAATCCCAGGCACCATTCTACCTGCTCACAGTATATACATCCATCTAACCCTTCCAACAACCTATGTAAGAGGTGTTATTATTATTAACTGCGTTTTAATAGGCAGGGAAGGTGAGACACAGAGAGGTTAAGCAAACTTGACGAAGGTCACACGGTGAAGGATTTGAACCCGGGAAGTCTGTCTCCGGAGCCCATTGTTTTAGCCACTCACTAGGCTGTGTCCTTGTGTCTGTGTGATCCTCGTAACACCCCCTGCTGCACACAGAAAACACAAAGCTTCAGGTTTCAGGAATGAACCCACAACTCAGAGGGGAGGTTGTTGCAACGTCACCTCAAGGCTGAGCACTGGGTCTGTCTGTTCCCCACGTGCCCAGAAGGTTGGGCGCTTGCCTGGCCACGCTGAGTCTTCTGGGGCCTCTGTCCCTTCCCAGGGATGATGACGTGTGCACCAGGGTTGTGAGAAGGATGTGGAAATAACAAATGTGGGTGTGTTTGTGTCTCAACAGGCCACCAAAGGCTACTTGTCCTCAGAAACTGTCCCCAGGATAAGTCAAATCCCGATGGGACGAGGTGAAAGCTGAATTCAACACAAAAGAAAGACACCAAGAAAAAAGAGGCACAGACTTGATTCTGGACTCTGTAACCTGCCCCACAGGGCCAGGCATGGTATAGTGGATGCGGGGGTCAGAGAAATCAGCTTAAAGACCCAGTCCCGCCAGTAACAATGTCCATCAACTTTTCTGAGCCTCAATTTCCCTATCTGTAAAACAGTGAAAGTCTTGGGTTAGAAGCTGCCGAGGAGACTTCCTGATGATTTCCCACCCCAGTACCTGGGGACCCAAGGTGTAGTCTCTGCCCTGGATCCCCCACCTGGGGCTGATTCTCTTCCCACATCTCTCTGGGGAGCTGGGGTGGGCAGGGTCCCTCCTCTGCGCCTGCTCTCTGGATCCACACCAGGGGGCGGTGGGCGCCACCCAGCCCAGCACCTGCCTTCCCCCCCTCACCATCTCCAAGGCCCCCACTTCAGCTGATAAGTAGCTGTGATCTGGGTGACAAAAACCACCTTTGTTCCTACAAACTGGACTGGCAGGTTTCCACACCCAACCTGGTTAACCAGGAAATAGTCCAATCCCCAGAGCACACATCCCGGGCAGCCCGAGAACTCAGCATCGGGGGCAAGGTCTGGGGGGAGGGAGGGTGTGCTGGTGAATACTGCGGAACAGGTGGGCGTCCCTGCCATGCCAGGAAAGGGACAACATGGTGGAAGGGCTTGTCAGGAGGCTCTGGATGGTGGCAGCAGGGCTTGGGGAAGAGGGGATATTTGCTTATGAAACACAGAAGTGTCCAGCGGAAGGGGCCCTGCAAGGGGGTCAAGATATCTGCTTCTAGCCCAGCTCTGCACCGACTTTGTGCCTTTGGGAGAACCGTGCAGCCTCTCTGCCATTCATGACCGCATCTGAGTTACCACGCAGTAAACAGGGCACCCTAAATCCCTGTCCCTGGGTTCCCAGGGAGGGAGAATTTAGGATCCAGGTCGAATACTTTGTAAATAGCCAAGCCCTATGCAAATTTGGGTGATTGTTTACATTTTTTGGTTCCCAAAGGTAAGAGGAAGTTGGGCTTGATATAAAGCCTTTTCCTGCTTAATATTCTAATTTTCTCAGATTCTTGAGGATGTCAGTTGTAAAGCATTAATACAAAGTTGAGTGCTGGGCAGATTGTTGAGCTGGCAACACTTGATCACCCTTCCCCCACCGTTCTTCGTTAAAATGAAAACCAAGGAGAACAGCCTGTATGATCCACACCGGTCACACCCTGTCGGGGCCCCCAGGGTTATAGGTGCCTGAGTCCTTTTCCTAGAGATCAGCAACCCAAAGGCAGGTGAGCATTCGCATCCTCCAGGCAACTCAGCTCAGCAAAAGCTGCCTGACCCAACTACTTGTTGGCCAATCAGCAGACACCCCCTGCCCCCGTGCTGTGGGGAAGTTCCCAGTTATGGAGGGTGCACGTTTTAATTTCTGTCTCTAACATCCAAAACTAAGAGAAGAGCTGGCAAGGTGGCAGGGGAAGGGGGGGTTGATGAGGGGAGAATAGCTCTGCAGATACCATGGTGAGAAGTGTTTTTCTGGGAGTTACGAGCCAACCCAGGAATCCTCGGCAGAACAATGGTCTTGTCTCTCCAGCAACCGAGGTCTCGCTGGAGATAGAGAAGCCTCCATTCTGGAAAAGAGGGCCAGAGGGGCGACTCCCGCCCCCCTCAGCACAGCCCTCCTCTCTCCTCTTTAGAAACCCCCTGCTTGTGTCTCTGAATAATTCACAGGATCTTTTGTTCCCCCCAAACCCTTCTCTCCATCCCACCTCTCCCGCCCTCCCTGGTCTTCCTTTTTTCCGTGGGAAAGTTACTGGAAGAGGTCATGGGCAGAGAGGGGAGGGGGAAGGGGCCGTTGGACGACAGAAGGTCGATGGCAATGGCAGACAAAAGGGAATAAACACGCTAATTAAATGGCCAAGAAAGACTGGAAGAGAAGATGGTAGTGGGGGTGAGGGAGGCGGTGAGAGGTGAAAAGGAGGGGGGGCTGGAAGACAGAGAGGGTAGGGAGGGGCCTCCCTTGTCAGGAAAACAGAGCAGAGAAAAAAACAACTTGCTTCTATAGCCGTTTTGAAATGGCACTGCCCAGACCTCCGCCCTATTCTGCTGCTCGGATTCTATTGGCAGAGGCAGATACTCAAGCAGAGATAAAGAGCGGCCGACTCCTTCATTGACATTTCAAGCGATCTGGGGTTCCCTTCCCTCAAGTATGGCATGGGGTCACTTGGCTTTTGCGTAGGGCGCCAGAAATGAAATAGGGTGTTAGATCCGGCTCAGTAACGACAGAGCGCATAGATACTGTTCGTAATAGGAATAGCAGCTAATACTGAAAAGACTCTTATTACGTGCCAAGCACTGTAGTAAATCCACACTGAATATTTCATTTAGACCTCAGGACAAACCCTATAAGCAAGGTACTATTCCTATCCCCATTTTACAGATGAGTAAACTGAAGATAGAGGATGCAAAACTTGCCCCAACTTACACAGCCAGAATCTTGGGTTCCAGCCCAGCCAGTCAGATTCTAAAGACTGTGTGCTTACCCACTATAGGAGCCTCCCTCTGCCATGCCAGCAGTCGCCCTGGAACTCCGTTAGAGGCCCTGGGATGCTGCTGTACGCCAGTGTGGAGGCACTGAGCAGCGGCATTGTGCGGGTACCCCTTCCCCTCTGCCAAATACTCCTGCAGGCTCAGAGGAAGTCATGAAAACCCCAGGCATCTGACTAGCATCTGACCATTTATAAATTGCCTTCGAATACAACGAGGAGCTGGGCTTTGGCCAAAAGAGCAGCAGACTAGGAGACGAAAACCTAGGTTCCAGCTCCCACTCTGTAACACGTGGGCTGTGCATCTCTCCTTGGGGTGTTAATTCCTAGCTGAGTGCCCGTGCCTGACACTTGCATCACGGTGTAAGGTCATGAGTTAATGCCGGCGAGCGCATCGGGTCAGCTGTTAAGGGGTGACTGCTCCTAGCTGAGGTTTTGACACTGACTCCATGGGGTAGGCAAGGCAAGCATGATGATCCCCATTCCACACAGGGGGAACATGGACCTTGCAAAGATTCCATGCCTCACCCCGTGGCAGAGGCAGGAGTAAAGGCCCGGCCTCACGGTCTGCAATCTACCCTCCTTCCTGTCTCCTCCCGGCGCTGAGCCTCTATGTGCAGAGATCTTCCTCTGGGCAGCCTGACCTTCACACTCTTGTGTCCAACCTACCTCTGAACCATCCCAAATGTCTGGGGCTTGGGTGGCAGGCAGGGCCAGGCTCCTCCAGAGAAAGGGAAGATTGGACAGATACAAGAGGCCAATCTCACAAGAAATCAGGGGCTGGCAGGCAAAGGCTACGGGTACCACATGGACCTGCGTCTCTGCCATTTTATGATCAGGAAGGCCAAGAGGATGATAAAAAGCAGTCATAACAGAATCTACAACATCCCCAAGTTGTCACAGGAACGACTGAGACAGTGCATGGGAACTGCCTGGGACGTAGTAAGTACTCATTAAACACGGCCTGTTATTCCAATCTGGAGGCACCAGAGGAAAGGGACTAGCCCTCACTTGGCACCTACTTGGCACCGTGGTATGTGATTGACAGGGAAGCAGCATGGCTGAGTGGGGAGGTCTGGGCTCAGACTTCCTCAAGTCTGAATCCCGTTCTCTGCTGATGATTAGGCATGTGCCCTGGAGCGAGTGAAACTCTCATGTCTTCAAGGGTAAAATGGGATCAAAAATGCCTACTCCAGGGGCTTCCCTGGTGGCGCCGTGGTTGAGAGTCCGCCTGCCGATGCAGGGGACACGGGTTCGTGCCCTGGTCCGGGAGGATCCCACATGCCGCGGAGCGGCTGGGCCCGTGAGCCGTGGCCGCTGAGCCTGCGCAAGCCTACTCCATAGACTTGTAAGGATTAAGTAAAGTGATAAAGCCCCCAAACTAGAACATGGTGGGAGCCCATGAATGTTGCCTGCTATCTCTTGGTAGGCATCACCTCCTTTAATGCTCACTGCAACCCTAACGTGAATATTATGGCCAGCATTTACAGATGAGGAAGCTGGGGCTCTGTGATATCAGGGATCTGCCCCTATCACAGGGCTAGGAAGAGGCAAAGTCTCCATTAGGATCCAGATCTGCTGGATCCCAAAGGCCACATCCTTGCTTGCCCACCACACCGTGCTGCCTTCCACCTGCAGCCAGGGGGTCAGGTGAAGACGAGGAGGACCTTAAGCCTTGGCAGCCCTTCCTTCATCTCTGACCCGGATGATCAGTGACGTCTGATGCCCCTGATCAGTTGATGCTCAGAGACAGCCATGGAAGCACCTACCCGGAGGCGATCAGCACTCGGGACTGGGCGATGGCCAGTCGCTGCAGGTTGGTCCGATTCAAGGTCGCCAGGGCCACCCTTTCGGTCTTGCCATTGGCTCCCGGGGGGCTAGCAGGGGAGCCCGCATTCGCCCCTGCCGGCGTGCTGGAGGCTTGTCGCCGGATCGCCTGCGATGGGACCGTCTTCACCGGGCCTCGAATGGTGCCCGTGCTGTCCAGTGGCTTGACCCCGGGGCCTGGTGGGGGAGGCACCTTGACCACTCCAGACTCGGGCATGTGCTTGCGGGCAGCCGGGGGCTGCAGGGGTCCAGCGCTCCCATTGGCCACCGCGGCCTTGACGCTCATCACCAGGACGCACTGCGGGCAGGAGCAGGGCGCGGCGGGGGGCGCGGCGGCAGGTCCGGGGCTGGCTGGCCAGGACTGGGGCTTGGGCAAGGTGCCAGTGACCATGGGGTAGATAAGATCTAGCCGCCGGCGGATGCGGCGCTGGCGCTGGGTCTGCCGGTTGATCTGGCCCATGGTGCTGAAATCAATGACGTAGCTGAAGCCGATGGAAGTGAGGTCGATCCAGGGGTGCTGCTTCTCGTAGGCGTGCTGGATGGTGATGCCCACTTCCATGTCGTAGGGCGTCCAAGAACCATTGTCGTTCTCCCACTCCCACACCACGCCCTTCCCAGGGGCCGAGGTCGGGTCGTAGTAGTTGCGGCGAACTGGACGGAGGGTCCCTGCCAGAGAGGGACAGAGAAGAGGATCAGGGTCGCCAAGGGATGAAACTGAATCGTGTTACGTTAATAGGCAGACATTAAACGAGTCCTACAGTGTGCCGGCACTGGGCTGCCTGCTGAGATATCAGCTTTGAATGAGGCTCATTCCTGCCGTTTTGAAGTCCAGCAGTCACAGGGGGGTGGAAGCAGATGAGTTACACGGGGAAGGATGTGGGAGATAGTACAGGGTACCAGAAAGAGCACTTCCTGGTTTGGAGTCGGGAGACCTTAGTTTGCAGGCAAATTTGATCACTTAATATAACACCCCACAACCTTCTTTTCTCCCCCAAGAAACAAGATGATAACTCCTTTGCCGAGTTTTTGTGAAATTAAATGTGGCTCACTCAATCAACGAATATGCATTTGTCTGTGGCAGGACCTGGATTTCTCATGCGCCCTGTACTTTGCAATAAGATATATAAAGCCCTTGACACGTGCTAGGTGCTGAGAAATATCATTTCCCTTCTTCCTTGATTCTCCACGTGCCTCAGCCCCGAAGGCTACAGAGGAAATGAACACAGGGTCATGGGACCCTAGAGGATAGAGGAAGACTCTTCCCCCAACCCAGGAAGGCTGCCCAGGGCTGGGGGCGATGGCTGGCTCTCTGGACTTCTTTGGGTGTGGTAAAAAAAAATAAAAGGTCAGGTTGGAAGAACTCTCTCATATTTCCCAGCATTAAGTCTTATATCAACAACTGCAAGAGTGATCATAAGAATAACTTTCTATTTATCTAACGTCTTCCCCCCCCACCCCCACAGAAGCTCAACCGTCCTAAAGATGGGAGAGTCTCAATTTCGACAGCCTCACAGTGGGTGGGATGGGGGGTGGTGAGAGCAGGGAGATTAGGGTTTGTTGCAGGGGAATAGGACAGCAGAAATGAACCTGCAGGACTGTCAGGGGAAAACTAAGCCTGTAACTGTTGCCTCTTTTTCCTCTATCTACCGGAACCTTGAATTCAGATCCATACCCAACCAGGGCTCATTTCGTGGATATTAACATCAAGGCTGAAGATGCCTGGTTCAAGGCCGGGTAGGGAGACTGGGGAGAGCTCCAAGGATGCTGGAATCTCTGCATCCGTCAGCTTAAGCTCTATCCATCAAAGTGGTGGGAAAAGGCTCCCCTTCCCTGGCCTCTGACCCACCCCCTCCCCCAACCCAGAGGGAGACACCAAGACTGGGGACAGAATCTCATTCAAGGGGGGAAGAAAAGGAACAATGACTATTCAGGCCTTTGCCAGGTCATAAATCCGCCCCCCCCCCGCCCCCATCTCCAAGCCCCTTAATGACCCAAAACATCAACATTCAGAAGTAGGAGGGAGAAGCAGAACAATCCCCTCCCTATTCAGCGCCAGGAGGTCGGCTGGATGTGGGGGGAGCGCGATAGCAGGAGGAACGGGGTGGCCAGTAGGCCCCTGGTTTGCCACCATTTCCTTCCTAAGGCGCCAGCTTGCTGGGGGACAAACAGCTCAGCCTTTGGATCCAACAGCAGTTTCCGCCCCTTCCAGCTGTGTGATTAAGCCTTAGTTTCCTCATCTGTTTGCGTCCTGGGTAGGTTCTTCAAAGGGTGGATTTGAGGATTAAATGCAGGAATGAATATAAACGCTAAGATAATACCTGTCGCTTGGCAAGGGCTCAATAAATGTTGGTGATTATTATTGTAATTTATCTTCTATTGTACGTCTTAGCAGGATGGAGAAGTCGCAGGGAAAGTTTAGTCCAGGGGATGTGAAGTGTGTGTGTATGTGTGTGTGTGTGTGAGAGTGAGAGAGACAGAGAGAGAAGAGGACCAGAGAGAGAGTTTAAACTCCCTCTTTGCACAATCTTTGTTACTTAGAACCTTCAGCTATCCTATCTCATTTGATCTCCCTGGCAATCCTGTGAAACCACGTTTAAAGACGAGGACATTAAGTTTAGAGAGCTTAAATGACACTATTTTATTCTCTGTCCAGGGTAGCAGGGACAAACAATGCACTTGACCAATTCTCATAAATGTGCTTAAAAGGCATTTTTCACAATGGTGGTGTCGGTCCCAGCTATGCCTGGGAGTTGCCCCAGAACTTCTGGAAACTCTGCCCTGCCTCTTTCCAGGTGTATCCTCCTCTCTGCCCTGGACAGACGCCCCCTTTTCCTCCTGCATTCCCTCAGTGTTCCTGACTCTCCGCTGCCCCTACTATTCACCAGGTCCCGTCTATCAAAATGCCCTCCTTTGCTGTTTTGATCTACTGAAATTTTCCTTATCGTTCAGGTCCTATGCCATTTGCCATCCATTTCTTGAAATGCTCTCCTAGTCCGGGCTCCATCTTCAAGGAGTCTGGGGTGCACAGCTGCTTATGTCTGAGGGGTACAAGCATCTTGGCACTTTTCATATCAGTGCCTAACGCAGAGTCGGCAGTAACGAGGGCTCCACAGACGTGCTGTGATGGGGTGAGGACTTCTGGCTACGTTGGCATTTGATCATTTATCCCATATTGCTGAGTATGCATTAGCTCATACAGATGCAGATTCAGGCACTCCTGAAGCACCTCCCAGTCTAAAACAAGACAAGTGCCTAGTTGTGAGGCAGAATATGCCACCAAAAAGGGTGTCAACAAATGCAACGTTAGCAGAAAATGTAACCACACCCCCGCCGTGCTTCGATCCCTTCCGTGACTTCCTTGTAGGTCAAGACCAAGATGCTCTCCACCCACAACCTCTGTGGTCTCCTCGAATCCTAATACACTCTGCCCACATTTCTGCCCCACTGGCCTCCTGCAGACTCTCGCCACTGCCTCTTCCCCTCTCTGGGCTGCTTCACAATCTTGGTCCCTCCCCTCACACCCTCTGGCATCCTCCTGGCTACCCATCCTTCAGATTTCAGCTCACTTCCTCGAGGAAAGCTCTCTGGGTTGTCCAGCCAGGTAAAACTCCTGCTCCTATATTTTACACTGTCTTGAGGTGCAGTTACACATTTATTTGTGTGATTCATTTGATGAATGTCCACCTGCCTCATGGGACTCCCAATCTCATGAGGGTGGGCATCCAGGAGTTTGCTTATGGCTGTAGCCCCCATGCCTGGCATGTCCTGAGGGCTCAATAAATATCCACTGAAGAAAGGAAGTAATCATAATTTGGAGAACGTTTCAAGAAATGGAGAGCATATAACAAAGAACATAGGGCCTGAATGAGGAGAAGTTCAACAGGTGAAAATGATGAACAAGGGCGTCTCAGGAGAAGGGACCTTGTGAATAGTTGGCGGGAGGGTGTCTAAGGGAATGCCTGAGAATAAAAGGCACATCTGTTTGGCGGGAGTAGAGGAAAATATGGGCATACAGGAAGATAAACTTGGAAAGGTGCGTGAGAGCCAGGGCATAGATGGTCTGGACTGCCAGGCTGTGAGGGCTTTTATTTACAGGCCACGAGGAACCAGTGAGGTTTGTGACACAGAGAAGTGATGACACCAGAGCTGCTCCGTTTATTAGTTCCAAATGAGAAGTAATGGGGTGGGGGGGGGGAAGGGGGAGGGTGCTGGCAGCAAAAATGAAAAGCAGGTGATAGACCAGAGGGACCCTACAGAGAGGTAATGGGTAGGACCTGACAACAAGTAGCTGAATGCATTCCAAGTGATCCAGGATCACATGCTTTCAAATCTCCCGGGGAACAGATCAGCAACACCCTCCAGACCTGAGGGCCGGCATCCCTGGGAGCTGGGCCCGGGAATCTGCACGTGAACAACTGCAGAGTGTTCATCGCGTATGCTCAAGTTTCAGCTTCCACATGCCTGTATATATGGGGCATCCAGAAAGAATGACGAGACGAGTCAAAGACCCCTGAGGCTTTGACCACGGGCGAGCGGTAAGGTAGTGACGCCATTTAACAAGAAGAGGGGTGTCACAAGCAAGAGCTGATTTTTGGAAGGAAAGATGCTGCGTTCAGTTCAGCCCTAGAGGATTAGTTAAAAACAGAAGGCAGACCTCAGCACGAAAGTTGTGGGACAAGAGACATGGTGGGATTACATTCTCTCATTATTTTGAGATCACTCCATCTGACATGGGCGAGTCCTGGACCTTTCTATAATCAGGACCCTGAATTAGATGATCTGAGGAAATCCACTGGGTCCTAAGGTGCAGTGTGACCCAAGGACAAGGCTTCTAATGGCACAGGGATAAAGGATTTCACAGACTAAGGAGGAAGAAAGAGGAAAAAAGCTTCTTCCAGCAAGTCAGACACATACATCCCAAAGCACCCAAGTTGTTCTGGCTCCTGGGAAACGAGAGACAACACCTTTCAGGCATGACCCTAGGACTCCAGGGCATTTCACCCACGTCCATACAACACTGTGCTCCTGTACCCAGGAAATCCCAGGCCTCTCTTACCAGCACCCCTCACCCTCACTAGAATGTTCCATGAGGGCAAAGACTTGGATGGTTTGCTATCGCTATATCCCACAAGCCTGGAACAGTGCCTGCACGTAGTAGGTGGTCCATAAGTGTCCACCAAACGAAGCAGGACATGGGCACTTGATTCCGAGTCTCAGCTCTGCCGTGGACTAGCTGTAAAACTTTGAGTAACTTCATCTTTTTCAACTTGTTTCCTTTCCTATGAAATGAGAACAATGGGTCCTTCATAAGATGGCCGAGGATGAAACCAGATAATGCGTGCAATGTGCTTGGTGCCTCCCTCATACTGTAGCTATCATGTGGTCGTGACATTTGCTCCCACCACTCTTGTGCTCACACAGGGTGGGGAGGATAGTTGGCGGGGGGGACTAAAAATCAGCTTCTATCAAACCCTTTAATCACTCTCCATCTGACTCTTGTCACTGCGTTAAAGACATAAAAGAGGCAAAAGTTGCACAGAAAACTGAGCTGGAAAGAACCCTCCCTCATACCATGTTACTTCTAATTAGCGTCATCGCTGGTGCAGAGTCCAAACCCATTCACCTGCCGATCTGCAGGATGGGAGGAAAGGAGCCAGAGGAAGCTTAAGGCTGCTCTTCATTCTACGAAGGAGAATGAGGCCCGAGCAGTCAAGGGACTTGCTGAAGGCCACAGAGTAAGCCAGTGGGTCTGGAATGAGACCCTGAGTCACGTCTCCCACTGCCAGCCCGGGTGTTCCCCCATCCTGCTGCCAGGCCCTGAAAATGGCAATGATCAGGTATGTTGGAAGATACAGAGCACAGGGATGTTGGAAGTTACAGGGGACAGAGCTCCAGCCACTGCCCTACAACAGAAAAAGGTCAGCCCAGTCAAGATGAATGATCGTGGGTGGAGAGGACCCAACAGAGGCTTTTCGAAGCAGCCAAGACTCCTTCACCTCTATCTAGCCCTGTCTCTTCCCTTCTTCCCCATTCTCTAGCCCAAAATGCCTAGAGGAGACCAGCATAGAGTGCAAATAAGCGCAGACTCAGAGATGGTCTGGGGTAGGAGAAGGGCCCAGGACAAACAGAGGTGGGCAGAGGGTATCTGCAACCTCCCAGCCATCTCCCTGGAGACAGACTGGATGAGGTCGGAACCCAGGGGAGTGGAGAGTCTGAGGACTTCCTTGGCAGCAGGGCAGGCAACTTCTGAAAAAACACAGCTCCCATGTCAGGAAATGTCCCCACACAGAGGAGGCAACAACAAAAAAAGAGAGGAATCGCCTCTGGGCAGGGGACTTCCAGCTCTCCTTTGTTTATGGGGATGTTTCTGGTTCCCAGCTTCAAACTGTGGCTTGGGGATGGTGGGTAATTTAATTAAACGTTGCCAGGGCTTGGCGGAGGTTGCCTGGGAGCCGGTGGCTTACAGTTCCTACCCTGTCACGGCTTCATCAATGAGCTATATTGAGAGGAACTGTGTGTCTGTTGATGGAGAAGACAGAGGAGGGGGCTGTGAGCCCAGAAACCCAGAGATTCTATTCTGCTTTGACAAGCTCCCCGACAGACCCAGCAGTCCTGGGAATTCAGCCCAGTGCCTTCTCACCCAGCACACCCAGCGCGGGGCCTGGCGCTGAGGATGGAGGCTCTCAGCCCACGTTGGCCGATCAACCATTAGAATGAGTGGATGATACCAAAGCAGTCTGAATCCCTCCAAGACAGACAAAAAATGTAAAACACACGCTGAGGCAGTTTGAAAAATGATCCAGGGCCAGGTCGGGTCTAAAATCTGAGGAGCTCCAGCCTCCGACTTAACTGTGAACCACCAGGCAGTGGGCAGCCTGTCCTCAGGGAAGGGTGGTCAGACCTGGGGCAAGTAGCAACAGTCCTTCAACCCAGTTTTCTCCAGAACCTCATTTCTGTAGTAAGAGCCCTTCAGGCCATGACCCTTCCTAGGAACCACGCCCATCTCAGACATCCCTAAACACTGATTAAACTTTCCCCCTTCTCAAATGTGGGACAAGGCCTGGGACCTTTATGTCACCAAGGTGTCTCTCCATCTGCTGCTGAGATTTAGTCTGAAATAGAAAAGCTAACACCTGCCCATTTATTCTGAGCAGGATTGGAGTCCCCTGTCAGGTAGGTGTCTTGACTGTCAGACTCTCTGACCCCACCTACAGGGCTAGCTTCCCCCTCCCCACGGTCTGATGCCTCCACCCTCACCTCTCGGACTTCTGTCCAAAGTACACAGTTACCTTCTCCCCCTTCCCCCTTGGCCACACTTAATCCTCTTTCTCGACCTCCCCACATTCCTCCTTATTCCCTCTTCCTCCCAGTCCCTCTCAGCTCCAACCACCTCCCTTTCCCACCAAGGTTTAGGCCCTCCAGATGCTAACGCTTCTGGAATCCTTTCCCCAGAAAGCTTCACTCAGTCGGTCGGTGTCTACAAAGTCCTTGGCAAAGAGGTTGTTAGGAGTTATGAGTAAAGATGAGGACACGAGGGTGGAAAGATACCCCTTTCCCATGACAATCCTAATTAGCGCACAGGATGCGGGGGCTTTCCAAGGAGGCGGAGATGCCTTTGCTCACACAGCTGTTCTCTGACCCTCTGGGACTCACCCGGTCCTCCCCTCCGGTCCCTCCCTTCCACACCTGTCTCTCCAGGCTCCTGGGTCACACTCTCGGGAAAGCAGAGCCGGAATCCCCCAAACAACTGCCCACCTCCGTGAAGAGGCTACTGGAGAGACAGACCTGCCCCAGGTAAATTAAGCCTGGGCACCATGCGTGGGCCACGCAAAGAGATGCGGCCCCCCCTCTGCCCCTCACGCCAAGGACCCGCCACCCTGACCTCCAGCCTGCAGGCTCTCTTCTTGGCTCTGACCTGGAAAGGCTGGCCAGCTGGGATGTGGGATTTGCGGTGGCCACAGTGGCAACTTGATTCTCACAAAAAGATAGGAGTTTAGTGTCCCCCATAGGGGACCTTTATAGGGCGAATCTTGGGGACAGTTTCTTTTTAGGAATCCTTCTCCTCCAAGGACAAAGCGATCAGCTTCCCAGCCAGGCATTCCCGAGCTGTGTCCCTCCCCGCCCGCCCCCCTCCATCTGCTCTGGCCTGTTGCTTCAACGCTTGGAGTGCCCAAGCAGAGGCACTCACCAATGCCACAGCAACCCAGGCATTTCCTGCCCTGGAATCCCCCAAGTCCATCTCTGTTCCCAGAAAGGCCCCTCCCTGCCCGTACTAGACCACAGTGAAAGCCTCCCGGGAATCCCTTCTTCCTCCCCCCAGGATGCAGCTGTGGGAAGCCATCCCAGCCCGGAGGGGTAGAGGCAGCAAGGTGGTTGACCAGGGGAACGTGTGGCAGGCCCAAGGGTGCCTGAGGCACAGTAGGGTCAGTCAGCCAAGGTGATGTGTGAGGAATGAGAGCAGCAAGCCTTTCCTATCAGCTGGGATTGCTTGTGGGCTGGTGAGCCCCGGAATTTCTACAAGAGCCACCAAGCGTTTCAAAGGGGGGCGTGAGAGGGGGTTTTTTAGGAGCTAGGTTGAAGCTCGGGTTGCATAACCAAACCTCGGATACTATTTGCATGGACGTTTATTGCAGGGGGTATCTTAAGAGCATCGTGGGGCGTCAAGCGCCCCCTCCACGACCCCCTCTCGGTGACACCAGTGTATGGAGATGCGGACAAAGGTGGGCCCCGGTGGTCTCGCGACGTGGGAGACCTCAGGGCAGGCAGGGGAGGAGGCGCGGTCGGGGCAGGGGCGGCCGGCTCACCGGTGTCCTGGCGAAACTGGTTCATGGACTGCAGGTCGATGATGTAGGGCGCGAGACGGCTGTCCACCTGGCCCAGCACCACGCTGCCCCCGGCGCGGGGGCCGGCGCGAACCACCGCCTCGATGTGGTGGCTCACGGCCGGGCTGTAGGGGCGCCAGCGGCCGTGCTCGTTCAGCCATTCCCAGACCACCACGGCCGAGGCCAGGAGCATGGCGAGCCCGGGGCTGCGGCGGCGGCGGCGGCAGCGCTGCGATGCCTGCCTCCGGGGCCCGGCGCGCCCGCCCTCCTCCGCTTCCTCCTGCGCCGCCGCCTCCGGGCCTCGACCGCGCCCCCCGCCCCGCGCCCCGACACCCCGGGCAGCCTCAGCTCCGGCCCATGGGCCGCCCCCCAGCCGCGCATCCACCGGGGCCCGGAGACCAGGGCCGCCGGGCTCCGACCGCGCGCCGCCGCCCGGGTCCGCCGCTGCTGCCGCTGCTCCGTGGGGTCGAGTCGCTTCATGCAAATGCCCGGCTCTCTGCAAACTGGCCCCCGCCTAGCAAAGCCACCCGGCGGGCGCGCGGCCGGAGCCCCGGCGGCCGCGAGCTGGGGCTGACGGCGAGGCGAGCATCAAGCCCTCGCAGCAGCTGCGCCTAGGGCTCCGCAGACGCCGGGGTGGGACCTCGCCGCGCGGTCGCGCTCGGACTGGCACGCCGAGTCCTCCTTCCCTCCCTCCCCGCCCTTTCACCGCACGTTCAGCTGTCGCCGCCTGGGACAGAGCTCCCCCTCCCTGTGGCTCCGCTCAGCTGCTTCTAGAATAGTCGCCCCTCCCAAGCCCGGCGCTCGGGCAAACCCGCGCCTGCGGAGGGTTTCTCCGGTCCCCAGACGCGGAAAAGCGACCCCCCAGGACAAAGCCCCGGGACTGCAGCTGTCGCCGGCCGTAACTTTGCAGTCTCCCTCCCAGAAATGGAATTTTCTTTTTTCTTTTCTTTCTTTCTCTTTAATGCAGTGTGATCGGTGTCCGGACAGCGAGCTCCGAGACACTTAGTGTCTGGCACACTCACGCTCGCACGCACACGCGCCCACATCCGCACGCTCTCCTTGGTGTGGTTGTATTACCTCATCTTCGTCCGCATCCTCAGCTGTCCGTCAAGGATGCAGAGCCACGCCCCCTGACGACTGGAGCAGGTGCCCTGGAGCTCACGCGCTCCCTGCTGGCCTAAAGAGACGCGCGCCGGCCACTGGCCACACACTAGTTAGCTCAACTAGCTGGGCCTCTCTGCTTACAGAGACCCAGTCCAAAGGGATGCAGCAATTTGAGAGGTGATGGATTAACACTGTCTATGGTAGGGAGCAAATGTGGTTTTTCTGGCCTGCTTAGACGTTACCAGAATCAAGAAGACACATGCTAAATTGATTTATTTTGCAGGATTTCTATGACCGAAATAATGAGACACTAAGACAGACACAAGCTAGACTTGGTTGTTTTGGCCATCAATAGTCAACGGGGAAAATAATCTAAAATGGGTGCGTTCTGACTAAAAAGGTAGATTGACATCGGGATTACATATTAATCTTGCCAGAAGACACAAACTTTGTTTTGCTAAAGTTGCAGCTACGTAAAACAATGAATTCATACGCTCAAGAGCCAGGATAGGATATAGAAAAATAAAAGTAGACTATGTGTTAGGAACCGGGATTATGAAACTTTCTGAAAAAATCGTTTTCTTTCATAATATATGATCTCTTTTGCTTTGGAAGATTTGCTTTCCCTCCCTGTTTCTTGCTCTCTTGAATTATACCTGTCCTTTCTCCCATCACTAGTTCTTTCCAAATCTTTTTCACCCCTCTACCTTTATTTACCTCCCTCCTCACTGAGTTCTAAGTACAAAATAAAAGGAAAAATATCAAACATGCTCTTCTTTGGGCCTCCAAAAGCACCAGGCTTGAGGCTACCTCTGAGCTTTGTTCTTGCCGGTCCCCTTGCCCAGAAATCTCCCCAGGGTGACCCCCAGAATCTCCAGTAAGCCTCTTCCCTAAGGCCAGTCTCCCAATCCAACTCAATCAACACCATTCATTAAAACATGGAATTTTAGGGTTTGAAGGACAAAAGGAAAAGGAGTTAAGGCTACCTCAGTTAATCCTAACAAGAGTCACTATTATTCCCATGTTATAAATGACAAGGCTTAGGGAATTTGAGCAGTTTGCCCCTGTTACATGTTTAGCAGAGGGGAAACTGGTATCCAAAAATTAGTTGGGCAAAAAAACCAAACCAAGCCAAGCAAACAAAAAAACCCACCTTGTTCCATAACACAAGTTATATGATGAGGAGATGGTGTGATAAGAGGCAAGATATATGGCAATGTAAAAGTGCCTCAGTGTGAAAGAAAGGAAGGGAGAAAACGAGGATAGAGTGTTCTGAAAGGACACAAGTAGAATTGAAGAGAAGGTCACACAGGGTTTCCCTGGTAGCGCAGTGGTTGAGAGTGCGCCTGCCGACGCAGAGGACACGGGTTCGTGCCCCGGTCCGGGAAAATCCCACATGCCACGGAGCGGCTGGGCCCGTGAGCCATGGCGGCTGAGCCTGCGCGTCCGGAGCCTGTGCTCCGCAGCGGGGGAGGCCACAACAGGGAGAGGCCCGCGTACTGCAAACATAAAAAAAAAAAAAGGTCTTGTAAATTTGTATTGAGCTATTTTTACTTCCAATCATGAGACCAAGTGTATGAAGACCCTGGAAACTCTCTCGTGGTCTGGGAGGTACAGATCCAGAAACTATAAACTATCAGTAACGACTGAAGGGGAGGCTGCAAGTACGAGGGAGAAAACAGCATCTGACCAGCTAGACCAGAAATTCCCAAGTAGAAAAAGCCTAAACCTGCTAAAAGGGGCATGTTCTATGGGTGCTCAAAAGGAATGTGTATTCTGTTGTTGAGTGGAGTGTTCTATACATTTTCATGAAATGCTATTGGTTGATGACTTTGTTTCATTCTTCTTTAGGCAGGCTGTCTGTATAGTTGTTCTGTAAATTATTATTATTATTTTTTTGGCGGTACGCGGGCCTCTCACTATTGTGGCCTCTCCCGTTGCGGAGCACAGGCTCCGGACGCGCAGGCTCAGCGGCCATGGCTCACGGGCCTAGCCGCTCCACGGCAATGTGGGATCCTCCCGGACCGGGTCACGAACCGGCGTCCCCTGCATCGGCAGGCGGACTCTCAACCACTGCGGCACCAGGGAAGCCCTCTATAAATTTTTTTTTTTTTTTTTTCGATACGTGGGCCTCTCACTGTTGTGGCCTCTCCCATTGCAGAGCAACAGGCTCCGGACGCACAGGCTCAGCGGCCATGGCTCACGGGCCCAGCCGCTCCACGGCATGTGGGATCTTCCCCGACCGGGGCATGAACCCGTGTCCCCTGCATCAGCAGGCAGAGTCTCAACCACTGCGCCACCAGGGAAGCCCCCGTCTATAAATTTTTGAAAGAGGTGTATTGAAGTCTCTAACTGCAACTGTGGATTTGTCTTCTTTTAGTTCTATCAGGGTGTGCTTCACCTTTTTTTGCCACTTTGTTGTTTGTGCTTTGCACATTTTAGATTGCTACATTGTCTTGGTAGATTGATCCTTTTATCATTATATAGTGTCCTTCTCTGTGGTAATTTTCTTTGATCTGAAGTCAACTTTACCTAGTATTAAGATAGACACATGTTTTTCTTTTATCCATGTCTTTGTGATGTATATTTTTTCCATCCTTCACCTCCAATCTGCCTATGATGTTCAATTTGAACTGAGTTTTTTTGTAGACAGTTTATAGCTGGGTCATGTTTTAATCTACTCTGCCAGTCTCTGCCCTTTAATTGGTGTGCTTAAACCATTTGCATTTAATGTAACTGTTGATACATTAGGGCTTAAGTCTCTGCCAGTTTATTTTTTGTCTTCTGCTTGCTCTGTTTTCTTCCTCCTGCAGGTTACTTGCACATTTTGAAGATTCCATTTTGACTTGTGTATAGTGTTTTTCCATGTTTCTCTTTGAATAGCTTGTTTAGAGGTTGCTCTAGGCATTACACTATATATTTACAACATCACAATCTACTAATGTAGTCGTTTTGGCAGTTCAAGTGATGTACAGAAATCTTACTTCTTTAATCTTTAACTCTTTTTACCTTCCCCCATTTATAATTGCTCTATATACATTTAGGACCACATCAGTGTTGTTCTGTCGACTGATTATTTTTTCCCAGTTAGTTGGCTCTCTTCTTTTTCCTAGTGTTATATAGTGCCTCCTCACAGTGATGTGAATAATCCTCTGAAGTTAAGGCATATCAGGTGGGAGAGTCCTGATTTGATCGCTGTTTCCAGATATGTAGTCAACTGAGTCACTGAGATGAGAAACAAATTTGGGTACTTTAACTGTAGTGCAGCTGTTCATCAGTTTCCCAAGGCAAAGAGCATGGTAGATTGTATTTTCCAGAAATGGCCTCAACAATATTTCTGGTCCCGTATGCTCTTCCAGAACATTGTCACTCCTTTATGAAGAGGTTCCATCTGTGGGATCCTTAGCTGCGTTGTCTAATAGGGCACCACAGTAGAAATGACATTATCTGACATTCATGGGTAGGTTATAAAAGATAATAAAGTGTGAAAGCCAATATGGGAGTTCAACTTCTGGGAAGAAGAAATAGACATACTTTTCCCTATGCCTCTAGCTAAGTACAACTAAGAAACCTGGCAAACCATGTGAAGACTCTGAAAGTTGGAGGAAAGACAGATCATTTAGGGACCTTGGGACCCAAGGAACAAAATGGTGGTGTTTCCCTAGTTTTCCTTTTGCCTCATATACCCAAGACTTGGATTGGAAGAAGCCAGCAACTTGGAAATGCCGTGGGCATGGACCCCAAACAAAGCAAAACGAACAAACACAACGTGAAAAGCCTACTCTCTCTAATCAAAAAAACAAAGAAAGGGGCAGCATAGCAAAGCTGAAAACTTTTAAATAGTAACCACTCTACTCTAGCCAAACAGCACAGAAAAACTGTGGTCCCATCCCCACCAGTGACCACAAAGGCTGAGTGGGGAACCTATGTCCTTGTCAGGCTGTCATGAGACACCCCAACGGCCACCAGCTCCTTGCTGATTTTCTCCTTCTGTTTTGACAGCTGAGTGACACATACATGTTTTCACTTTCATCACTTTTAAGCTTGCCTTTACTTTTTCTGTGTTTCATGTAGTTTGTATCCAAAGCACTGGTTAATTTCTCCTTTTAAGGAGTTGTCTGCCCTTTGGGATTTTCCTCAGATGAATATAATCCTTGAATGTGAAAGCCAGTCATCTTTCTTGAACTTTTCCTGAAGCCTCTCTGACCAGAAACAGAAAGATTTCTTTGAGAGTACCTGACTTACCTTAATTGTCTTTGGAGTCCTGAAAGTAAATACTTCACAGATCTAAATTCCTAAAGCCACTGAAACTTTTGCTTCTATTTTGGTACACGCTGTAGTTTTTTCTG